TTATTTTTCATTTCCTAGACTTTTATGTAAATGGAATTAAGCAGGATATACTCTTTTTGCTTGGCTTCTTATGTTCAGCACAGATGTGCTGAGATTCATCTGTGTGTGTCAGATAGTTTGTTAGTTTTTATTGCTTAGTCATACAATATTCCATTGTAAGATACACCTCAGTTTGCTTATCCATCCAGTGTTGATGGATATTTGGTTGTTTGCAGAGTATGGTTTTTGTAAACAATAAATGCTCCAAAATCTTGTGTACAGGTGTTCATGTGGATATACAGTTTCATTTCTCTGTGGTTTATAGCTAGCTATAAATGGAATGGCAGGATCATATAGTAGATATACATTTAACTTTTTCAGAAGTTTCCAATCTTTTTAAAAAGTAGTTTCTCCATATCCTTGCCAACACTTGGTATCCTCAGTCTATTTAATTTTAGTGGTTGTGTCATGGTAACTCAGTGCAGTTTTAATTTGTATTTTCTCTAATGGTTAATAATATTATCTTTTTATGTGCTTATATGCCATCTGTATATTTTCTTTTCTCTTTTTTTGAGAGTCTTGCTGTATAGTTCAGAATAGGCCAGCCTTGAAGCCTTAAACTTGTGATCATCCTATCCTAGCCACTTGAGTTCTGGAGTTACAGACCTGTGCCACCGTGTCTGGCTTTGTATATTTTTTTGTTGATGTGCCTATTGAAATCTTTTTTTTTTTTTTTTTTTTTTTTTTTTTTTTGGTGTGGAGGATTGAACTGAGGACCTTGTGCTTATGAGGCAGGTGGCCACCACTGAGTTAAATCCCCAGCTCTCAAATCTTTTGCCTGTCTTTTTTTTTTTTTTTTTTTTTTTTTTTGGTGTGGAGGATTGAACTGAGGACCTTGTGCTTATGAGGCAGGTGGCCACCACTGAGTTAAATCCCCAGCTCTCAAATCTTTTGCCTGTCTTTTTTTTTTTTTTTTTTTTTTTTTTTGAGACAGGGTCTCTCACTATGTAGTTTCGAGTTGAGGCTACCCTGGAACTCACTATGTAGCCCAGACTGGTCTTGAACTCAGTGATCCTCCTGCCTCAGCCGCACGAGGGTTGGGATTACAGGCGTGCGCCACCATCATTTTTTGAATTTCGATTTTGAGATTGCATGTACAGTATGCCCTCTTGTGCCCTGTTCAGCTGACAGAACTGCCTGTATTCTCCGTCTCCTTCAGCATCTGGTGGCTCCTTTCCATTTGTGTTTCTTCTCCTGCAGGAGTCATACAGTGGCTTGAACGAAGAGGGCAGAAAGTGGAGTCTGTTCTCAGACTCCAGGTTTTGATTTATGTGTGGCTAGTCAAGTACACTGTCGCGGGCTCTCTCTGGTGGCTGTGCTTATCTCCTGTGGGAGTAAACTTGCCTTGCTGAAGGTGAACAGTTCTGGGCCTTCACTGTGGAAACTAGGCTGCCTTTGTTGGTGTTGTGTCCTGACCGAAGGCCAGGATCGTGGCCAGCATGGCTCCTGGGTACAGGCTGGGCTGGAGACTGAGTTGCACAGTCTGCAAGTGCGGTGCCGGCTCCCGTCTGTGTCTGACTAGCAGGCTGTGGTGCACTTTGGTTTTTTTTAGACAGGGTCTCACTATGTAGTTGAGAATGACCTGGAACTCACTATGCAGCCCAGCCTGGTATGGAACTCACAGCGATCCTCCTGCCTCAGCCTCCTGAGTAGCTGGGTGAGCTACACCCCAACCTTCTGCAAGGATTCTTTTTTGTTTGGAGATGATCTGTAACTCAGACCGGCCTCCTGCCTCTGTCTCCTTAGAGTGGGGATCACAGGTGTGTGTCACCATGCTCAGCCTCTGCAGGAATTCTTAAGGGCTTTGTTGTGCGCTGCAGCACCGAGGAGAGGAGTTTGAATTGTGTTTTGAGAGCAGGGCAAAACCATAGTAAGATGTGATCAAGGGGAGTGACACGAATTTATCCTGTGGTTGCACCTCTGGTGGGATTGCTGGTGGTAGTTCAGAGAACTGAGTGACGGAGAGGCTTTGAAGTAGGGTAAGAGCAGTTTGTGGAAAGAGCTGTGGGAGGCAAGTTTCCCTCGCTGCTCTGTCATCAGGGCAGAGATGCTGATGAACGAGCCTGTGCTGGAGGATGGTGATCTGCACAGCACCAACTGTCTCCTACCAGGCAAAAGCTGCTTTCAATTTTTTTTTTTTTTGGTTTTGTTTTTAAAAATTTATTTGAGACAGAATCTGCTATGTATTTCAGGCTGGGCTTGAATTCACACAGCGATCCTCCTGCCTCAGCTTCCCAAGTGTGGGGATCACAGGCGTGTACCACCATGCCTGGGTTTTGCAATTTTTTTTGTATCTTCTTACTTTGAATGCTTGTCCCTATTGACTGATTCTCTTCATGGTTTATCTTTTTCCTGTAGAATATTACAGATTTAACTAGAAAAGATGAATATTCTTGTAACCTGTACAAAATAACACATTCTAACATTTTCCTCAAAGCAACAGATGATTCTGGCACATGAGGTAAAGAAGGTATTCTGGGATCACTGCATATGTAGGCAAGACACTGAAATTAGACTTTGGACCCCTAGCCTAAACTCCTCTCTGAGTACAGCAGCTTTGAGGAATAGTTCCTGAAACCACTGGCCTGCTGGCCTGCTGGCCTGTTCCCCACATCCCTGGGGGAGGGAGAGGCGCAGATAAAATGAAGTATTCAGCATCATTGTATTTATCCATTTGTCTCATCAGCATTTTTAAAAACTCCCTTGACGTAAGAAAATTCTCAGCCAGGAAGAGCAAAGCCTTTGCAGAATCTGTACCCACTAATCAGGGATTTATTTATTTTAAAAAACATTTTATTACTTTAGTTTTCTGCAGTGCTGAGGATCAAACCCAGGCCCTTGCGCCTGGGCCGGCTCTCCACCACAGTTTCACCCGCCCTGGTCAGGGCCTTAGGAGTCTGAACATGCACAGGTGTGGAGTTGGTCTTCCCTGTCTCCAGGTCCACTCAGTGCAGGTCCTGAGGTGCCGCTGGTGTGTGTGTGTGTGTGTGACTTTCTGTGGGAGGGATGAGACCCACCTGAGCCATCATATGAGCTGAGACCCTTAACAAATACAGATAATGCTAGTAGAGGGCTGGTTCGAAAAGACGGGCAGGGACCCCCAGGATTGGCAGGTGTTAGACTGAGCAAGAGAGGCTCACTTTCCTCCCCCTGCTCCTCCTTAGAGTCGTTCTCATTTAATTTTATCTTTTGGCCCCACCAGGGAATGATTCCAAGGCTTCACACTTGCCAAACACACGCTTTAGCACTGAGGAGCACCCACAGCCTTCCTCAGTACTTTTTTTTTTTTTTTAATTGAGTTTATTGGTACAATCTAGGTATACAGTACAGTTACATTCATCATTGGGATTCTGTACCTTTACATAATAGGTCTTGATTCTCATTTGTTCCCCTTGTCCCTGTCCTCCCTTCACCCCCTCCTCCCCTCCCCATTTACAAACACTTTATTTCCATTTTTTCAATATCTCATATTTTTTTCCTCTCCCTTATTACCTTTCCCCCACCCTTCCCACTTTCCCTACACCTTTAGCCCCTTACTTCCTATTTCACATTATTAATTATCTCATTAGGATTCTGTGTACTATTATAGTTTTTCACACCAGAGAAACTATTTGGTATTTCAGTTGAAGAAATCTCTGTCTGAACATTAAAAGTAGGGAATCCTAAAATAAAACTAAAAAGGAAAGTAAAAGAGAAAAGGCAATGATGTAAGATTAAAATAATCCTTAATTCTGAAGATGAAAATGGTCCCTTAACATATTTAAATTGCTTCTTGCTCTTACAGTCTTATCTTATTCTTTTTTCATTATTTAGAGAATACTTTATTAGTTTCTGTAATCAAACCCACATAGATATAACCTTAAGTACTTTTTGTTTAATGCCCTTCAAAATTCAGTCAACAGCCTATTTATTTAGTGCCTACTCTCTACACTGTGAGGACTGGAAACTTGTCTCCTTTGCTCCTGTCTGAATCTAGTGTATCATTACTGGGTTTATAGACTCAAATGGAATTTTATTGCTTTGCCTTTGCCCCGCTTTCAGATATAGATACATTTATGTTACAGTTTTTGTTTGTTTGGTTTGTGGTCTAATTCCTATTTTGTCAGAATCCTGTCAGGCTGGGTGCAGTGGTGCAGGCCTGTAATTACAGTACGCAAGACCCTATCTCAAAAAACCGAAAACCAAAAACAAAAAGGTGCCAGGGATGTAGCTCAGTGACATAGTACCGGCTTTGCAAGTGCAAGGTCCTGAGTCCGTGGTAACAGAAAAAGAAAGATTCCCATTCATTCTACTGTTCTCCACCTTCTTTTAGTAAAATCTCAGGGGTTGAATTAATTCTAACTGTTCTTTACTAGTTTGTTCAGCTTGCTGCCAATTGAGAAATGGTTGGAGATTGAACAGAAGTATTAGGTATTAGACAGATAATTGGGAAAAGGGGCAGGGATATAGCTCGGTGGTAGAATGCTTGTCTAGAATGTGCAGGGTCCTAGGTTCTTTCTCTAGTACTGTAAGAAGTAAGAACAAGCAAATAAATAATCCCAAAATCTAAGTGAGAAAAAAATTTTAATGATTGCAGAATGCTTTTTTTTTTTGGTACTGGGGATCGAACTCAGGTCCTTGCGCTTGCAAGGCAGGTGGAGGAAACAGTGAGCTAATTCTCCAGCCCCAGACCGCTTTTTGAAAAAATAGCTAAGGGAGGAGAGTTTACAATATATTAAAGCTCAAGGAGATGGGTTATGGAATAGAAACTACACTTGTTTTATTTTGTTTTGTTTTTTGAGATAAGGTCTCACTCTGTCTTGAACGCACTATGTATCTCTGACTGGCCTTGCGGCTGCCCTCCTACCTCAGGCGCTAGGTACTGAGATCATAGGCATGCACCGCCATGCCCAGTTAGAAACTGCAATTTCTAATTATATGTCCTTTGAAAACATATGAAAACAGACAGCCTCAGCGCCATGATGAAGGTAAGGGTGTGCATAGGCCGTGTAACTAAAGGACACATGTCAGAATGGCCCATGTGAAACTAACATAATTGTGCCTGAGGGGTCTCCATGCTTTGTGCATCCTCTGATAATGATAATCATAACAACCAAAACTAATGCTCATTAAGCCCTCCCTCTGTCCAGCCCATGTGCTAAATGCTGGTTCCCCCTAAAATATCACTCTCATTGGTTTGTTCTTAATAACAGCATAGGTGTAATTATAAGTTGCAATTGAAATAATGCAGTTTCTTTAATAACGGGGTAAGGAGACGACCACGGGCCTTATCTCCTGCTGATCTGCTGATGGGTGGAGGTGCTGTTTCCTGGGCCTCACTCACCTGCAGCTGTGGGGCTGCTTGGCTGGTGTCTTCCAGCCCGGCAGGGAAGCATTAGCCTGTGAAGTGAGCCGGGGCGAGAACCAAGACCTGCTTCAGAAATATGGAGCAGTATGTAGTGGTTAAAAGTTTGATTTCTTTGCTTTATTTTATCATCATCATTATTTTCCTTGGTATGGGGGATGGAACCCAGGGCCTCAAGCATGCTAGCTAGGCAAGCTACACCCTCAGCCCAGGTTTGATTTCTTCAGTCCACTTTGTACACTAGCATGCAGCAAAGCATTTACCAGATGTGGCTGTGATTTTTAACCAGATATCATCTAAAATGGCCAATATATCTTTTCCTGTTGTCAGAACCAGTTCTTAACTGCTGAAAAAATTGTACTAATGTAAGGATTAGAGAAATTATTATTTGCAGTATGGGAATTGAACCCAGGGCCTTTGCACTGAGCTACATCCGCAGCCCTTTTTTATTTTGGGATAGGGGCTCACCAGGTCATTAAATGTCCAAGCTGGGCTCAAAGTCCCTGTCTCAACCTCCTAGGGTGCTGGGCTTACAGGTGTGTGCCACCACACCAGGCAAGGGAAATTCCCTTTTTTAGTAATTTATCTTTATAATTATGAAGTTTAGAAGTTCATGCATTATTTTAAATTTTATAACATAAGATTTTTTTTTTTTTGGTACTGGGGATCGAACTTGGGTCTTTGTTCTTACGCGGCAGGCGGCAGCACCACTGAACTAAATCCCTGGCCCTATAACATAAGCTTTTAAAAAACAATTATTTAGTTTTTGTGGGGAGGGTTCCTGGGGAATGCCTTTTTTTTTTGAGACAGGGTCTGACTATGTGGTTCATACTAGCCTTGAATTCACTATGTTGCCCAATCTAGCCTTGAACTCACGGCGATCCTCCTGCTTCGGCCTCCTAAGTGCTGGGATTTCATGTGTGTGCTATCACGACTTGCTCTGGTGATTTTATCTCATATATATATGTGATATATATATATATATATATATTTGTTATATATAATAATATT